CCCGGATCGCGACTGTCCCTCCCTGCCCCATCGCTGCTCTCAGCCCCAGGATGCAGAATGTGATCAACACGGTGAAGGGAAAGGCTCTGGAAGTGGCCGAGTACCTGACACCGGTCCTCAAGGTAAGCGGAGCGGGTCTGACTTGCTCTGCACTGACTGCCCAAGTCCCGGTTCTCTGCGATCGGGTTAGAAGGTGGAGGGGCGGAACGCGCCGCCCTGTGCTGCCCCTTGCCCTGGACTTCTGGGCCAGTCCCAAGGTTTGATGGCTCCCCTGCTTCAACTTGAGCGACTACCGGTGCCTGCTGTCCCCACCGGTCGTTCCTCTGTGCTTTGGAGCGCGGTAAGAGGTGGTGAGGAGCAGAAGTATGAACACTGAATCCTGACAGCCACAGTGTTTGAGACAGTTATCTGGGTTAACCTTGGGAAACATGACAGCTCGGAAGCTACCGGCATGCCCCCTTTTCCTCCCAAGTTTCATAGGAAGTTATGATTATTCGGTGATCTAGATTTCCAGCCTCCTTTGGTTTCAGAGGAACAGTCAGTTGTAACATGTTAGTAACTCTGAGCGGAACTAGGCGAAACTTCTGCTTCCCCAAGCTTTTAAAGAAGCGGCAACTGGTTATTAATCTTGGATTTGGGTGATCCCATGACAGCAGTTCACCTGGATGTATATGTATAGGTTGGAAACAGTATAACATTTTCAGGTGAGAGTAGTGATCCCTCATCTTTCAAAAGTAAATTTCCAGAACTGCATTCCAAGTTTCCTTACAGCTTTTAGGATATATCTTTTTGTTGTAACTTGATTTTGCCTTTGGAAAAGCGAGCAGTAACAGTAAATGAGTGGCAGATATTTGCTTAGTTTTTTTTTTTGTTTGTTTGTTTTCGTTCTGTATTTGGCTAAGAATTTCAATAATCTTACTGGAGACAAGACATGGTCTAGAGCTCGCTGTGTAGCCGAGGCTAACCTTGAATTCTTATGAGATCCACCCTCCTCTGCCTCCCAAGTGCTGAGATAAAAGACATTTGCCACCATGCTCGGAGGCAATGTGTGGTATGTGTTTTTAGTATAAAAGAAAGCAGAATTAATGCCCGATTCTTGTCACTGCTGCTTTGCAGAATCCCTACAGATTTCTCCTAGAGGAAGTGGATGTTTGAGAAGGCATGATTTGTTTAGATGGCATCAATGTAGTAAAGCCAGAATCCTTATAGTGATTTTGAAGGGTCTTTTTGGCCAGTAGAAGTCCCAGCTCTTCATTTCAGGATAACTTGGGGGTAAGCTAGCCTTACCGGTCCTCAGCACTCCAGCAAGAGGACTTTTGCCACTAATGCTTTTCCACCAGACAGCCTTATAGTTTGGTCCTTTGTCTATCCTTTATTTATTTATAATATATTTTCTACTCATTCCTTGGTAATTTCATACATGTGTACAGTATATTTTGACCATATCTGTCCTTCACTCCTCCTCTAATTCCTCCCAGGTCACCCTCAGTATATACCTCTACCAATTTCATTTTTAACCCACTGAGCCCAGTTACTGCTGCCTGTATGTGTGTGGGTATAGGGCCATCCATTGGAGCATGGACGACCTACCAGGGACCACACCTTGACGAAAACAGGCCTTATCTTCCCCTGGCAGCCATCAACTACCACAGGAGGTTGGGAGGACTGCTTTCCAAGTATCTTCTGGAGTTACAAGGCTGCTGCAGTCAAACTCAGAGTGCCTGTGATTATCTGTGCAAGATCAAGCCAATCAAAACCCCAGTGGGTTCCAGAGGTGCTCACTAAGTTGAACCCCCTAGCTGAGGAGTTATTTTATTTTAATACCACCTCTCCTCTATATAACTATTCTTTTTTTCATGGTGTGAAGATGAGATTAATCTGTTTTTCAGGCGTGAAGCCCATTGTTTCCAATAGTACTGGCATATAGTGATAAATAATATTCACAAATTGATCTTTTTATTTTTGTAGACCACCATAAAATCTTATCAGTGAGAATGTAGAACAAAAATTAGTCAATAGCGTCCTTGCTTTACAGGAAAAAAGTACTATTTAAAGATTGTAGTGAAGTTGGGTGTGGTGGTAGTGGTGATGAATTGGCTAGAATTCCAGGGTTCTGGAAGCTGAGGCAGGAGGATTTTGAGTTACACACCAGCCTGGCCTGCATAACAAAACCTAGTCCAGAAAAAACAAATGGAGAGAAAAAGAAAGAAAAAACCTATGGTGGAGATGAGAATAATGGGAAATATTAAATATTACATGATTTCTACTGTTGGTTTCTAATATTACTCAGTTTAAATAAAACATTGGCTGTGTTAAAGTACTGCAAAATGACTTGTTCACTGTGCAGAGTGACTGTGATCTAAATATTAACATGCTTTCCTAATACTCATGTTTTGTTGTAGTACTGATCAAATTGTCCTGCAAGTAATTTCATGTAATTCATCTACATTATACCAGTATGTCTGTATAATTGAGGGACCAGTGCTATTTTACATAGTCCATTTAGATTTTAGTGTTTTGTTTGTTTCATAGTATACTCTCCATTGTTTAGAAGGGGCAACTATTTGCCCTTAAGACATTTTTTTTTTTTAGTTGAATGTGAAGATGGTCTAATACTTTTATTCTTTTTTTTCTCTTTAGGAATCAAAATTTAAGGAGACAGGTGTACTTACTCCAGAAGAGGTGAGTGTTGAAGACGCCCTGAAGCCATTATATCGTTACAATTCTATTAGACTGTGCCTTTTCGTCTTTGTTAGAAAACATCTTGAATTTTCTTGAGGAAAATTATATTTAGGTAACTATAATAATTAGGTTAAGAGAATTTCTGCTTCCCTTAGCGTGTAAGAGATAACATCTTTTCATTTTGCTGCTTCTCATATTTCTCGGTAGTTAAACTCTGGAAATGAAGGTTGTGAAGGGGAGTGGAAAATACAGTGTTCAGTTATCCTTCACTGCCATGTGAGATGTGCGGCACAGTGGGCTCTGGAATTTGCTGTCTTGGCTCTGTTTAGACCAAATGTATATTTGATGACATTGTGTTGGAAACCTTGATATAGGACCTTTTCTCCTAACATTCAGCTGAACTGTTAAATAGTTGACACCCATTTTATTTTACCATGGTTTCACTTTGTTTGTTAAAAAGGTTATTTTGAAGGTTAAGCAATGCTAGAACTATGGGGATTTTACATACTTTATACTTTTTAAACTTTTTTTCATAGAATAATGTTTTGAGGAATAATTTCACTTGTTCACCAAGTCTGAATTATGAGTTCTCATTCATTTAGGTAGTTTATCCCAAGAGAAACTTACCTCATAGACTTCATTTTTATGAATAGTTTCAGTTGCATTACCCCCACTTATTCTTAAGAAAAGGTGACAGATTTATTTAAACTTGATCTTCAACTTTCACTGAAAACATTGTTTATTAGCAATAGAATCATATTCCTTATTTGATAAAAACATTATAAAACAGTGTTGAATGATGAGGCTCTGGTTGTGGCTATAAATTAAAAGGCTTCAAACCAGAAATTAGTTGATCTTTCAGTTTTCATTTATGATGACAGCCTCTTCAGTCCAGTTCATTCTGACACACAACAATGGCTTACTGCACTGCTTTATATTTATTTATTTGTGAAACTGCCATTATGTTTAGTAAAGGCATGGGATGGTGTGGAAATAGCCTGAGTAACCTGCTTTCTCGAACCATCTGTCTAATTTCTCTTAATTTAGGCAAATCAGTTAGCTATTTAGGTCTGGGCCTCATTTACCCATCTGTAAAATGAGGGGTTTGGGATAGACATTCTTTGAGAGGACTTATTTTGCCTTAGATGCAATGAGTGTAATATGTTGAATGCCAATTAAAAGTCAGTTTTGTTCTTAAGGGTCTCATTAATTTTCTTTCCAAACAGGCAGTGTCTAGCCAGGGCTTTTGAATGATCTGAAGTCAGGAGCAGAGATAAGCATGTTCCATATTTGGACACTTTGACTTTATCTCTGCTGTGTGAAAATAACTCATTGTTGGATGCATTTCTGTAGAATTAAGCTGTTTCCATACAAAAATTCATCCTAACATGAATAACTTAATAGCCTCATGAAGTATGAGTTTTCCCTTAAAAAGAATCTAAGGCAAAACTAGCTTAATTTGATACAAAGCATGTAATTCTAGGCTCAGATAGAGCATAATTACAGGATTGAGTTAAATGAGCCGGAGGGAAGACAATGGGAAGGTATGATTTGCTTGGGATAAATGCTACATACTGAATTCAGTTGTTAATTTGTTTCTTCTAATTTCTGGGCTCTTACCCATCAGTTCCAGCTATCACTTTTGTTTTCATTGAGAAAAGCCCAAGCCGTTATGTTTAAAAAGAGGGACAGCCCATATCCAATACTGTATCTTTTGGGGAAAAACAAATGCTGGTGTAACTAAGTTAAATAGTTTTAGATGAATTGAAGGTCTTTTGAGGAATAATACTATTTTCTAAAATGCAAATA